CGGCCCCACTGTGCCTCCCAGGGGAGAGCTCAGCGCTTTCCAGGGGCTGCCCGTCAGCACTGCCCCCTTTTTTTTTTTTTTCTCATTTTTTTTATTTTTTTTTTCATACCATATCTAAAGAAAGTAAATAAAATCTTTTTAATTACAGATTGACAGTGATGATCTCCTGGACAACACAGGAGATGCAGCCAGTGCCTTTTTTGAAGGTGCTGGGGTATGTATTTTTTTAATTTATACTTGGGGAACATCAGCTTAGAAACCTTTCCCTTTTTTTTAATTTTTTTTTTTGTTTCGTAGGCTTGTTTTTCATCTGTTTCCCAGGCCTAGCAAAAGAGGCAGGGATTATTCCCCAAGATTTATAGCGAAATAGCTCTAACAGGTTCCCCGTATAACGGGGGAGAAAACTCAATTCCACGTGCAGATATAAAGTCTGCTTTTAACCTGGGGAAAGCTTTGAGGCTGGAAAAATCAGGTGAAGAAAGTGAAAGGTGTAACCGTGCTGTCACGGCACAAAGGCAGTAGGGGTAGTTTGGAAAAATGCTTTAAAAAAGTTGGTGAGAAGAAGAAAAAAAAAAAAAAAGTCCCCTTCCTCTTAGTTCCCCCTGGGCTGGAGCGCTCCCCTGCCTTGCAGACCGCTGCCACAGCAAAGGGGAAACAGGCAGAAGTAGCTTCTAAAAATCCTTTTTTTTTTTAGGTTTTTTTTTTTTCCTTCTTTTCCCTCAAGAGCATGGGTTACTCTGCATGGATACCATTCAAGCATGAAGGTCTCTTCCCCCCCCACCCCCTTTTTTTTTATCTCCTCCTCTATTTCCAGTTACATTGTAATAAGTCTTGATTTTTTGTTGGTGTTGGTTTGCTTTTTTTCCTGCCATTGCACTTTACTTTTCACAAAGGCTGTGGGTGAAGCTGCCGATGCTTTCTAACCAATAAATTTATCCAGGAGTTGAGGTTTGCTTCTACTTCCAGGTTTTGTTTTTTTTTTCATTTTGTTTTCTTTTTTAACTTCCTAGTGGATCTGTGTTTTACAAAATTTGACAGCAGAGAGCTGGTGGGGTCTGAGGTTAGGCTGCTGCATGGTGGTTTTCTCTTATTTGCATCATTCTTCCCAGCGCAGCCTTTGCTCTGCGTGAGATGCTTGCCCCGAGGATGCCCTTCCTACGCCCTCGCTATAGGAGGACCACCTATAGCAACACACCGCAACCTATGGTTGAGTTACCCCGGCTGCTGCGTGAACATCTCTCGCCAGAAAGGGCCGGGTTCTGACTGAGTTTTTAGCCTTGTTTCCAGACTATGAAGTTTCCGCTTCCCATCCCCGATAACAGCTTGATTTTTCAGAGTAAGGAAGGGAAGGAATGTGTTCTGAATTCTGGTGGCATTGAAATGACTTAACGCCTGAAAATTTAAAGCTTTTAAACTGTCCTTGGGACGCAGTTAGCCAGCTCTGCCCTTGGCCCCCTCCCTGGCTTTAAAGCAAGTCGTTCGGTGTCCATCTCTTCCGCTCTCAAATGATGCCGTGCGTTAATTTAGGCTCTCCCAGGGGATGCCAAAATGCTCTCCCCCTGTTAGGGAATCGGGGTGCAGGCTGCGCGAGGGCACCATTCCTCTCTGAGGTGACTCGTGAGAGCTGTCGAGCGGTTGACTCGAAGCCCTCTTCCCTTTGCTTGAGCTCAATGCCTTCTTCTTTCTTCTCCCCTCTGACCGCCAATCTTCCCAGCTGCACGTACAAGAGTCCTCCGGCAACCATCTGAGCACCGAGCAGAGTCAGCCCACCACCAGCGTGGACCTCGACTTTTTAGAAGATGACATCCTGGGGTCACCGTCCAGCAGCGGGGCGAACCTGCAGAATTCGGACCAGCCCTGCGACATCCTCCAGCAGAGCCTACAAGAGGCCAACATCACCGAACAGACGCTGGAGGCGGAGGCCGAGCTGGATCTGGGCTCCTTCCAACTTCCCACCCTTCAGCCGGTGGTGCAGACGGCCACCGACGGCACCCCGCAGATCTTCTCCGGCGGAGCCGACCTGATTGGCCTGCAGCAACCTGCCGTCCTGACGCACCAAGCCCTGGTACAACCGTCGGTGGGAGCAGATGTCGTCAACAAAGCCATCAGCGTTCAGCCTTTCCTCCAGCAGGTCGGCTTGGGGAACGTCACCATCCAACCCATCTCCAACCTCCAAGGCTTGCCCAACGGCAGCCCCAGCGGGACGCTGGGCATCGGCCCCATTCAGGTGGTGGGGCAGCAAGTGATGGCCATCAACCAGTCGACGCAACAGATCATCGCCAAGCAGGTTCAACCCTCCCAAGTGGCCACCATGCCCGTTGGCAGCTACATCACCCAGACGGCACCCGAACAGCAGCAGGTCACCCTCGCCTCGACAGGGGTCTCTCCGCAGGGCGCCGGTCTCGTCATTCAGAAGAACCTGCCGACGGTGGCCACCACAACGCTGAACGGGAACTCCATGTTTGGGAGCGTGTCCGGGACTCAAGGCTCCCAACCGCTCACCGTCACCTCGAACTTGAGCAGCCCCTTGGTGCAGGCCCAAAACGTCATCATTCACCGGACACCCACCCCGATTCAGCCCAAGCCCGCGGGGGTCCTCCAGCAGAAACTGTACCAGATCACCCCCAAGCCCTTCGGTTCCAACAACACCACCCTGACCATCCAGAACGAAGCCGCCCTGCAGCAGCAGAAGGCCCAGCAGAACCTGACCTTCATGGCCGGCAAACCCGGGCAGAACGTGGTGCTCTCGGGCTTCCCCCAAGGGCTTCCAGCCAACGTCTTCAAGCAGCCGCCGCCGCAGCAGCAAACCCTGAGCAAGCCCATGAGCGTCCACTTGCTAAACCAGGGCAGCAGCATCGTCATTCCCGCCCAGCACGTCCCGCAGGCCATGCTGCAGGGCCAGAACCAGTTCCTCCTTCCCGGGCAACTGGCAGGCGCCTCTGCTGTGCAGATCCCCCAGCAGCTCTCGGCCCTGCAGGCCAACATGGGAG